CGCCCGCCCCACTTCTCCAGATCACCAGCCCCTCGCTGCCCTCACACGCTGTCTCTCCAGCCTCACTGCCCGGGACCACCAAGCCCCACGCTGCTGCTCCGGGCCTACACGCAAACCCCCGACTTCATCAATCCCCAGCCGCTCGCTGGGCCACCAGGGACTGACTGGCAGCCCCGTGTGCGCCACTAACCGCTACCGGCCGCCAGGCGCTGGGCAACTTTGACAAAGCCGGGGGCCAGCTCACCCACCGGAACTGCAGTGGCGTGCGGTGACGTCATGCCACTTGGAAACCCGGCCAATCCCTTTCCAGCCCAGCATCCTCGGCATCCCGGGGCTGAGCCGCCCTGGGCCCGCAGGTGCCCTGCGCTGCCCCGAGGCCTTGCTCTGTTAACCACCTAATCCTCACGCAGCCCAGCTGGGGAAGAAGTGCTTCGCCTCGGTTTGCACCATCTGTGTGGCACGTGCCTTCAAAGGAACAAGGGCACAGACATGCCCATGTCTGCAAAGGAGACCATCCCTCCTGCCTCCCCTCCAAAGACCCTAGACAGCTCCTCCTTTTTTCTATTTCCTGTAACCATCTAAAAGAGAAATTATTTTTCCTCCAAACTTTTGATAGAAAAAAACTATCTGGGTCCCTGGGGGTGGGCTGGGGGGCGGGGGCGGTTGTCTTTATTATTTCCATTTCTATCATACTTATTGAACCGGGCAAGTCCTCTGAGCCAAAATTGTCATTTTACATGTTTCTAAGAATTAATCTATTTCACTGAGGTTTTAAAATTACTAGATATTTATTCTTTTTTTTAAAAAAAAAGTTGTTTTATTGCTTAAAGTATTACAAAGAGTATTATATATGTCTCCTTTTTTTTTCTACCCTTGACCTTCCCCTGGCCTCCCATACTCCCCAGTGTCTTGTGTCCATTGGTTATGCTTATATGCATGCATACAAGTCCTTCAGTTGATCTCTTACCCACCCCACTACATATTTATTCTTACTTATTGTTTCTGTACTAGCATATTGTGGCTGTACTTATTTTGCATTCTGGATTTTACTTATTTGCATTTTTCTTTTTTAATATTTTAAAACATTCTCAAAGGACCGAATTTTAGTTTTGTTAAAGTTCTCATCTTTCCCTTTATCTCATTTAGTTCTGTACTTATCTATAATTTTCTACTGTGTAGGTTCTTTGGAATTGGTCTACTGCTCGCACGTGAGCTAAATGCTTAGCTCATTCATTTTTAAACCTTCTGGTTTTCTGATCTATTTAAAGCTACAAAATTCCTTCTACATCACTACCTTAGTCGACTCTCACAAATTTGTACATACAATGCTTTCATTATCATTCAGATCTAAATATTTCTTAATGTCCCTGGTAATCTCCTTTTAAACCCATGAGTTATTTAACAATGTTATTTACTTTACAATAGAATTTCTTTTATTATAATTTTTTGTTACCAATTTCTAATTTAATTGCATTATTGTTTAAGAGCAAGGCCTGTGTTTAATCAGGATCCTAGCAGAAAGCAGATGGCATGTTCAAGCTGGGTAATTTGAGAAGTGTTTGATAAGGGTGACCATTTACAAAGGGGTGGGTAGGAGGTAGGGGAACCCCAGGCTGTGAGGGCTGAGAGGGAGAAGAGGGCGTGGGCCCTGGTAGGAGCAGAGGCCTCAGCTGAGGATGCAGCCAGCCTGGAGGGTGTGGGCAACAAATCCCTGGGTCTCACTCTCCCTCCTTGCAGGGTTGGGTAGAGCTCCCTTGGGCTGGAGCCAGCTGGTGGACGGGGCACCCACTGACCAGGCCCATTTAGGGCGTTCCTCGGGCAAAGGGGCCTTAGACAAACAAACCGAGCTCGGCAGCTCTGTCTGCATGGAATTTCACCTCGGGAATTTATCGAGGCTTCTCTGGGGCCTAACACATGGTCTGTTTCTGTAAATATTCTACATCTCTGTTTTATGGATATAGAGGCCTATGCATATTTAACCCATTGTAAGTGAATATAGACGCTTTAAAATCATTTTTCGTGAGAATTTTCAACTGAAAATATTCAAGAACACCTGAATTGTGAGTAATATATTTATTTTTATAATATTCATTGCAAATTTATTTTTTAAAATTAAATTCAAAATATCGTGGCGTGTGGGGATGGTTTCCGTTTTGGATGCATGGCAGTTAACTGGTTGATAGTTCAGGATTTACAGATTCTGCTCATTTTTGTCTGCTTGTGTTATTAAATAGTAATTTTCTTTTAAATTAAAATCTCCAGTTAAAAGTGTTGAAATAGCCCTAGCCGGTTTGACTCAGTGGCTAGAGCGTAGGCCTGTGGACTGAAGGGTGTGGGGTTAGATTCTGGCCAAGGGCACACACCTGGGTTGCATACTTGATCCCCAGTAGGGGGCGTCCAGGAGGCAGCCAATCAATGATTCTGTCTCATCATGGATGTTTCTATCTCTCCCTCTCCCTTCCCCTCTGAAATCAATAAAAATACATATTTTAGCCGAAACCGGTTTGGCTCAGTGGACAGAGCGTCGGCCTTAGGACTGTAAGGTCCCGGGTTCGATTCCGGTCAAGGGCATGTACCTGGGTTGCGGGCACATCCCCGGTAGGAGATGTGCAGGAGGCAGCTAATCGATGTTTCTCTCCCATCGATGTTTCTAACTCTCTATATCTCTCCCTTCCTCTCTGTAAAAACTCAATAAAATATATTTTTTAAAAATACATATTTTACAACAAGTGTTGAAATATCTCCTCCTCCCTGCAACTCTGGCGGATGAGATGTGCTGCTGGCTGAGGCGTCGTCTCACGTGTCAGATTGACTCTGAGGAGTGCGGCCCCTTTCATTGGCATGCTTGTGGCGGCCTTCTTTGTTGTTGTTTTTTTCTATTTTTACTTTTTTGTCTCAAATTTGAATGTCATATATTAAAGTGACAACCCAGTTTCCTCTGGTTCATTACTTGTCTGGTATGTCTTTTGCCAACATTTTTGTTCTAAACTTTGTATCTTTTAGGCAATCTGTTGTTGACATTTTAAAATCTAATCTACCTATACCTCTTAATTGGAATTTAATTTACTTACATTTTTAGTAATTACTGGTATATCAAGAATCAGTCTTGCCATCTTGTTAAAAATTTACACTCGCTGTAAAACTTTTCCTATTTCTTTCTCACTGAGTATGGTGAGTTTTCTTCTACTGACTTACTTTTATTATTTCTATTGTGTGGCCACTGCCCTTGATTTAGACCCTTTTTCTTTGTTAGCCCTGTGTACCCCTCTGGTTATGTCTTCCCTTGATAGTCAAGTATTTTAGCTGTTGATACTGTCCAGAATTGTAGCTCTGAGTTGTTGTGGATATGGTATTTTTCTTTGCTTTGTTTTGTTTAAGACAATTAATTCACATCCCAAGATGCTTGGTAACCCTGATGTTCCATACCTCCTGGCGCTTCTCCTGCATGTGTGCTACTTATGGAATACACAGTGTTATTAGTGAGAGTCTTGGGGTGAGAAACCTCCTAAAGCCCGGTATTGCTGAGGCTACTTTAATTATACTTTCAGTTTGGCTGGATGTAAAATTCTGGGTGCAAAGTTTGTTTCCTTCAATACTTTAAAAAATATTACTTTGTGGTCTCCTTGTTTTCTGTTGAGAAGTCCAGCATCCATCGGTTCTTGTGCCATGTTCTTTCTCCCAGGATGTTTCTAGAACTTTCTAACAGTGTGGATTTCTCTGTATCTCTCCAATTTCAGTCTGTGAGTCCTTTCAGTCTGAGTTTGTTTCTTTTTCTTCAATTCTAGAAAATTTATCTCCTCTATTGTTTTTCAAATATTTGCTCTTCCCTGTTGCAATATCTTCCTCCTTTTGGGACTCCTAGCTTCTGCACGCTGGCCCTTCTGTCCTCTGTGGCTCTCGCTCTTCTCTTTATTCTTTCTAACCCTATCCCACGATCGCCTTCTGGTGTTGATAGGAGTCAGTGCCCCCACCCCAACCCCCAATCAAAATATCTGGACTGACAGTCTTCGCGCTGTAGCCCTGCAACAGCACTCCCTATGTTCTTCCAATCCACTGTCAACAACAAAAATTCAACAGTAAAGTTCAAGATCAATCTGACCTTATTCAACAATTCACGAATCGGGCAGTGTTCCATTTGGCAAGTAGAGAGACCGCCTCTGAGCTGCAGAAAGGAGAGGTTTTCATAGACAGAAAGGGGGCGGGGAAATTTCTGTCGAAGAGTAGATAGTCTCAGTTTTCTGCCACCGTCCTTTGGGGGACAAGCGGGGTTTGGGGGATGACCTCACTGGTGCTGGCCAGGAAATCCCAGGCAGACTGTTAATTACTGGGAGAGGCTGCAACTGCAGATGGGCTAGGTGTTCAGTCGGTTTGGTGATATGGATGCAGCACAAGTGACTCCACTTGGGGCCTGTTGCCTCTTTACCACCATGTTCTGATTCTGTCTTCTAAGATTCGAGTCAGCATCTCCTTTCAGCTGTGTGCTCCACCCCGCACATCCCGACTCCTCTGGTTGGAAAATGTCCACTCGGGTCACATTTCAAATGTATCCTGTGAGCTTATAACGGGCAAGTCAAGAGCTCACTTCTCTCTGGACCCCCAAACAGCTTCTGGAAAGAAAACTGGTAAATTTGATGAGTTCAGAACTGAGTCAAGGAGTCTCCTCACTTCTGGCTGGAGCTGCTGCCCTTCTTTCTACCCGCAAACAGGTCTTCAGAAAATGATCAAACCCATGTTTCAGAAATGTCCACACCGCCACCAACCACTCTTTCACCTCCTTCCAGTGTGGAGAGGAGGCCACACTGAGACTGGGTTTGTGTGTGAGTGTGGGTGGTGGGGGGGGGGGGAGCGCAGTAAAGGAGAAGCCACCCACAGCTTGCAATTTAAATACATTAAAATGATTCCACACCATGACT